ATTAGTGTTCAATATGTCAGCTCTGTTTCTGAGATATTCTGGACTTTCAGATGGCATAGACTCAAGATCATATTTTGACTCTTGTGGACTTGTTTAAATCCTTCAGCTGCAACCGGACCTTACATATGTGCGATTGATGGTCCGTTCCATGTTCAGCCCCTAGCCTGGTTTTAGCTGCTGATATTGAGCTTCTCCATCATCTCTTCCCACAGATGTAGTCAATTTTATTTCTGTGTATTGCATCAGGAGAAGTCCATGTGTATAGTCACCATATAGTCAATGTTTGTATTCTTTGCTCACCACAGTCTGTATGCTGAGCAAATCATCAGAAAAGTTGGATTATATGAAGAATGTGGCATCAAGACTGGAGGAAGGCTTATTAACCACCTGTGATATGCAGATGACACAACCTCACTTGCTTAAAGTGAGGAGGACTTGAAGCAGCTATTGATAAGACCAAGAATTGCAGATTTTAGTATGAAGTACAAACTCAATGTGAAGAAAAATAAAAATTCCACATTGTAATAAATAAAAAAAAGACTGAAATTGTCAAAGATTTCATCTTGCTGGTATCCACAATCAGTGCTCATGGAATCAAGAGCTCAAACAACGTACTGCATTAGGTAAATTTCCTGCACAAGACCTCTGTAAAGTGTTGAAAAGAAAGGACATTACTTTGCGGAATAAGGGGGGAACCTGGCCCAAGCCATGACATTTTCAATTGCCTCATATGAATGTTGTGCATTGATGAGGGCAACTGACGAAGAGGCAATGCACTTGAGTTATGGTGTTGGTCAAGAATATTGAAAGTACCATGGGTTGCCAAAAGAACAAATAGCCCCAAAATGCTCCTTTAAGCAAGGATGGTGAGGCTTGACCTCACGTACTTTAGACATGTTCCCAGGAGAGACCAGACCCTGGAAAAGGGATATTCTGCTTGTTAAAGTAAAAGAGCAGCAAAAAAGAGACCCTATAAAGATGGATTGACAAAGTTGCTACCGCAATGGGCTCAAACATAGCAAGAGTTCAGAGGCTAGTGCAAGACCAGGGGCTGTTGTCTATGAGTCAGAATTGACTGACAACGCCTAAGAACATCATCAGGTGTAACTCAAGGGTGCTCTGATGGTGTAATCATTATGAATTGGGTTGCTAACCAAAAGGTCAGTAATTCAAAACCATGTGTCACGCATCAGAACAAGATGAAGTCATCTACCTCCACGATGAGTTACAGTCTTGGAAACGCACAGGGGCAGTTCTACCTTGTCCTACAGGATGGCTATGAGTCAGAACTGACTCAACGACAGAGAAAAGGAAGTTGTGGCCCCAAAGCATGAGTTATTGGTATGAACAAATCTTTTTGTTTGACCGGAAGACAAACTGAGTTGAATAAATTAGGTAATCCCTAATGGTAGTAAGGTTAGGACTGGCAGAAAGTTCAAACTACTCTTACCATCATCAGGGGCTGAAAGCAAGGCTAACAATGTTGTGGACAGAGAATGGAGGGGCATGAAATAGTTATCTCGTTGACTATTTCTGAGTCTTGGTTTCCTAAAACTTTTATCTCATTTTATGCACACAAAAAAATTTTTTAACATGCACCTGGTCCTGAGAGAACAGATACAGCTAACTTGGCTGATTTTAAAACAGTGAAACATCGTTGTGAAACAGGAACAGCTTATAAGCCATAAGACAAACTACATGATTCCATATTTTTTAGGATATGTACAAAAAATCTAGAAATATTTATATTCTAAATACTAATAGGCAATATCTAGGACCAAATATTAGGGTGGTTTCTATTTATTTTTGTCATCTGTACTTTCTTTTTTTAAAAAAATCATTTTATTGGGGGCTCTTATA